AGGTGCAGCCCAGATTCTTTGACGACTCTTTCACAGCCCTGTGAGGATGGCAGTGGTCTCCCCATTTTACAGATGAGGAAGCTGAGGCTCACAGAAGGGAAATGAAGTATGTGAGGTTAATCTAATGTAATGTTAGATGCTGGCCCACCTGAAGTCTCCAACCGTTCCAGCTTGTTCTAATTAACTAGCTGAAAATAACTAGAATTCAAAGGGGAAAGAGGTAGTGAAAAACACCCCAGTTCTTCAACAATTACATAAATATTGAAGATACATAAAGGGTTGCAAAAGCAGTCCCATGGCCCTCCAAAACTACCAATTCTCAAAACACTAGTGACTGCGACCAGTATATTTCTGTCCAGATCATCAGATTGCCCAACTTTGCATTTGGACAAATGATTCCCAGCCAAATTGTAAGCTCTCCTCTTGACCAGCACCCCAGGAGCATACGTGCTTTTGCCTTTCGGTGCAATAATCTCCTTGTTGAGAACCTCTGGCTCTTACTCTGAGGTCAAACCAGGATGAGTTTTCTGGAGGTTTCTCCATGAGCAGAGTTTCCTTTCTTCCTCAGGATGCCGAGGTGTGGTCCACGGGCAGGCATTGGTTTGTGACCCAAGGAGCACAGCAAGTGCGAGTAAGCATTAGACACTTGTAGAGCAGTTTGACATTGCCACACATCCAAGCGGGTGATCGTACTTCTAGTAATTCATTTTAATTGAATCCAGAAGTATGAGGCCACAGTGGATTCAAGATTTAAAAGGAAAAAGCAAAACCTGGTCATTCACCACCGATAGTTTGAGTTAGCAATCCATCTGGTCATGTCCTCACTGTCTTGGAGCCAATGAGACATCCTGCTGTCAGGAAAGAGGAGATAACCCAAGACCCCAGGGCAACGTCCGCCTTCACACCAGTCTTTGGGATGAGCTTCAAAGGCCCCCTCTCACCCCTTGAGACAAGCTCTTCATCACCTGGTCTCCTTGTGACCATTCACAAGTCCTGGTCTACCTCTTGGTCTTGGTGATGATCCTGGGCATGGTTTCCATTCGGTTGTAAGAAAGCCTCTGTCACACGTGGCAATGTGGATGCAACTGGGAGAAAGGAGCCTTATGTAAATAAGGTCCCATAATGAGAGGAAGGACCAGGCTTGGATCCCCTGGCCGGGACCTGTGCTGACAGAACAACCGAGCCGGCCCGAGACTGCACCCCCAGCAACCTCAGGGCCCTCTGCTTGCTTCTTCTGTAACTGCTCCCAAAGTCAGGGTTGCACAGAAGCTCAGTGGCACAAAGTGCTTATTAGCTAAGTGGTTACTAAGGTCTCATTAGGGACCTGTATTTAAAGCCCCAGAGAGTACGGTCTTAATCTCCGCTCGCTCAGGGGAGGCAATAATTGCGCGTGGGTATGTGACATCACATGGTGCCTTCCTGGGAGAGCGCCTCGGAGCCAGTTCACACACTGGGTCGGGGAGGCAGCCACACAAGGGGAGTGTGGGCAGGGAGGTAAATCTGACCTCCCCTCTTTATTTTGCTGTAAACCCAGGAAGGACCTGGTATTCTACAGCTCCTATCCGAGGGACCTGTGTCGGGGGCCCCAGCAGGGGATGGAACATTAGGCAAGTAATGGCATATTGTCCTGAGCCAGCGCACCTGAACCTCTCTTAGAAGCAGGAGCCAAGTTTCTTGGCATTTGTGAAATCCTGAAAATGGCAGAATGTATGCTTGGAAGCAGAATCCTCATCTCTCCCAGGTGGGGCCAGTGTTGGGTGTGGGGGGGTAACTGGCCTGGCAGCTGCTGCCACTGAGAAGGAGCGAGCTTTGTCAGGTCTGAGGAGGTCCTGTCTGTCTGAGTCCTGGGATCAGACACCCCAGCAGGCCCCCGGCCACATTTTCCATAGTCCCCCAGAGCCCTGCATGTGGTCTGGCGTGACTGATCCAGAGTAGCTGCTGGTGTTGGGACTTCCTCAATGAGAAAGGGGGCAGGTGTCTCCTGGGTCTTTTTTTTTTTTTTTTAACATCTTTATTAGAGTATAATTGCTTTACAATGGTGTGTTAGTTTCTGCTTTATAACAAAGTGAATCACCTATACATATACATACATCCCCATATCTCTTCCCTCTTGCGTCTCCCTCCCTCCCACCCTCCCTATCCCACCCCTCCAGGCGGTCACAAAGCACCGAGCTGATCTCCCTGTGCTATGCGGCTGCTTCCCACTAGCTATCTACCTTACATTTGGTAGTGTATATATGTCCTGGGTCCTGTCTTTCTCCCCAGCCTGCTTGGCATCCCTTCTATCTTCATCCTCTCTTGGTGCCTGTGCTTTTGCGGGCACCCGATGTGTTAGCCTCAGGTTCTGAGGGTGGGCCCTACTCCCAGGAGTCGGGGGCTGTGGGTGCCGGCTGCCATTTGCTTTGCTGTCCCCTGAACTTCCTGCTTGATACTTGAGGCTTGCACAGCAGATTCGATGTGGCCTTCCAGGAGTGGTCTTGGGTTTCGATTGAGGGCCTTCCTTCGCCCCCGCACGAGTCACTGTTACTCGCCATCAAGATGGCTATCAACCTGTGTCCAAGGGCCTTCAGCCTAAATTGTTGCTCTCCGTGGCCACACCTCCCAGAAGCTGGATTCAGAGGCTGGGGGAGCGTCTGGAGCCTCCCTCTCTCCAGGGTCTTGGGATCAGGAACAGTATTTATAGATATAATCTCATATTGTGCATTTTTGCCTCCCTGCAGGGGAGACTGCAGTATTCCCAGGCTGGCCTTTCAGAGCTGGTATGGAAAGAGGGAGCAAGTCAGGGTTTGCCCAGGGGTGTATGTGTGATTGTGCTATGTCTGCTTGGGCTGTCAGCTCCCACACCTTCCCCAGCTCCATGACACGCCGGTGGGGATCCACACATTCATGGGTAGGCATGGACCATCATGCCCTTGGGAGCACAGACACCCACAACCTGTCAGGCTGTGATCCCCGGAGCCAGCATGGAGCTGACTTGCCCAGCACCATCTCTGGGGCCCTGGGCACTGCCGCCTGGAGCTCCGCATCCTTCTCCCTGTACCTGCCCAGTAGGGACCAACATTCACTCCCATTCCGGTCGTGTTTTTGTCGGCAAGGTGGTCTGCATCCTGACCTGACAGGACTCAGGTTAGACGTGGCCATAGCTCCCTATGGGACACGGGAGCTGCAAGGCAGGATGAGACTGCCGAATTCAGAGGGAGAAGGGAGGGTGGAGTCAAGTTCATCTTGGTCCAGCCCTGCCAAGTGCCAGGCACTCACACACACGCTCTCTCACTCAGTTCCTGCCACAGCTCCGTGAGGCAGGCACCGTTTATCCCCATTTCACTAAATGAGGATGCTGAGCTCAGAATTTGAGGACTTGGCGCCCCATCTCAGAAATGGTTAGTGGTGGAGCAGGGTCCTAACCCTCCAGGTCCGGGAGTGGGGGGTCTGGGGCAGTTCTCACTAAACAGTAGCTCCCGGCCCTCCAGAGAGGAGGGGTCTTGGGGAGGGCGGCCGCAATGCAGCTGGCTTGTTTTCTTACTGTGAAGGCCTCCCGGGCTTGGGCTCAAGAGACCTTAGCAGAGTCCTGGCTCTTCTTGCATTTATTTCTAAGTGGGCTTGGACAGATCCCTTCCTCTGGTATTTATTCCCCCTACCTGTGAACCAAGCAACTCAAACTCCTGAAGACCATGTACCCTGCAGGCCTCCATTTCTCTCTTTTCTCCATCTGCAGAGTGCCCACTGCCTACTCTGGGCTGGTTAGGCCTCTCCTGGGACGTTGGGTGCCGTTTGCATGTGGGTGTGGAGCCCTCTCCCACCTCCAGCTTGTTCGTGTCTTCCTTCTCGGTGCTAACTGGCCTCTACCTTTGTCTCTGTCTACTCTATCTCTGCTCTTGGGTAGCTGACAGTAGGGAAAGTGTCCAGCGGAATAGGGGCTGCAGCTGAAGTTCTGGTCAATCTGTACATGAATGATCACAGACCTAAGACTCAGGCCATCTCTCCAGACCTGGTAAGGATGTACACCCCACAGCCTTCACCCACAGACACTGGCTCTGGCCTCCCAGGGAGGGTGCACGGGACGCAGAGAGGATTGCCTGGCCCCTCTTCTCATGGGACGAGAGGGGCTGAGACCGGGCTGGATCAGAGCAGAGGTTAGCGGGAGGCTGTTCTTCCTTTTAGACAAACCTCACTCAGCCCCCTTGTGGCTCATTTCACAAACCAGAGCATCTTCCCTGCTGGCTGGGGCTCTAGAGAACTCAGTGCAAAGGCCAGGAGGGGCCGTCCGCAGAGGTGGACAACACTTAACTGCCAATGTTTAGCATCCAATCTGGATTGGATTGAGAATTAAGTAATGGAGAAAACACCCCTTTCCTCTGAATTCTCCCCTTCTCCAGTGACTCCGCTCATTTTGGTTTCCTTTTGGTACACTCCCCTGGAATCACCCAGGTGTGCCCCTTCTGCCCTGGCCCTTGCCCTCTCCTCTCCCCTCTTGCATTTAGGAAGTTGACTGGCAGCCAACTTCAACACACAGAAAAGGGCTGCCCCTTCTCTGCAGTTCTCTTGAACAGTTTTATTACCATGAGCTTTCCCTGCCTGACCTATGTCACTGCAGGGAGACAAGGATGTGTAAAACATTCTTTCAGGGACCTCACTCTAGACGCAGGCAGTATGTAACCCCTGGGTCAGATTCCTGGAGATAGCATCGCTGGGCAGCATGTTTGTGAGGGACGCCCGCTCCATCAGACCAGGAGATGTCACTCTCACCCTGAAACCAGAATGGCCAGGCTGCCTGGGAGTACAGTTAACAGCTGCCCCTGCAGGGCTGGGGTCTGCGTATCTTCCCACCCTCATTCTTTGCTGAAGTGCCTGCAGTCAGTGCCTGCAGTGACAAAAGCAACACATAGCCTGTGAGGCCCCACGATGCAGGCCGGCATCTCTACAAGGCCAGCCTCACAGTTGAAGATGCGGTGTACGCCCTAACACACTGCTCTTCTCTCCCGATGCCCTGTGTCTCCCAGGAGTCCATACGGAAGGCGTTTCCCCTGAACCTGGGTGGCAGCGACACCTGTTATTTCTGCAAGAAGCGCGTGTACGTGATGGAGCGGCTGAGCGCAGAGGGCCACTTCTTTCACCGGGAGTGTTTCCGCTGCAGCGTCTGTGCCACCACCTTGCGCCTGGCCGCCTATGCCTTCGACAGTGATGAAGGTAAACCCCCAGGGGCCAGGGCAGCACTCATCTCTGGCCTGGGCTTCAGTCCCTTTGGAGGCTCTGGGACAGGCAGTACTTCCCAGGGAGTTTTGGTGTCATCAGGAAAGCTCTTCAGGGAGCAGGGATCCCCTGCTAAAGAGAGAGGCCGCCTGTGGTGAGCAGGGGTCCTGAGGGAAGGGGAACTGTCAGCACCAGGGGTGCATCAGCGTTCGGGGCACCTACCAGGCGACGAGTGCCTTATGAATGTTTTCTTACTCAGTCTCACCACCTTCAGTTGCCCCTGTGTGGCTGAGAAAATCGAACCTGATAACCTATGTCACATGCTCGACACCACACCTGACATATAATAGGGGTTCAGTAAATGATGGCATATTCGTGTTATTATGTATAAAGTACGCATTGTAAAAATGGCAGTAACCGTAACATGCCCTCTGATAAGTGGCCTGCCGGCGTCATCAATGAAAGAATTGCACTCATTGGAATGAGTGATTATTTTCTAATTTCCAGCACTTGATGTTTGCACGGTCATATAATGACAGTGCTTGTGATTCCATACCCCCAAACTAACTGCCTGGGTTCAAATCCAGGCTATGCCACTTCTAGCCATATAACCTTGGGCCTGTTACGTAACCTCTTGGTTCCTCAGTTTCCTTACTTACAAAATGAGGATGATACTACTTAGCTCATAAAGTCATTATGAGGGTTGCTGGGTTAATTCCCGGGATGATAGTGTCTGGTATATTGAGTCCTACACAAGATTTTTCTGCTGTTATCATTATTCCCATCACTATTGTCACTATTGTAGCAGTGAGCAGAGAAGGCTTTTCTGGAAGGCACCCAGTAGTCCCGGGCAGTGGCCAGTGGCCCAGTGTGTGCCTCACTGAGTTTTCCTCTCCAACACTGCCACAGCCTGTTCTGCTCCTTTCCCACCCCCAGGGGTCCCAGAAGCAAGAGGAACTAGAAACAGAGCTGCTATTCTGGACGGTCCATTTTGCGGCCTGGCAACTTGCCTTGGGAAGGGACTTGGCCTGGGGGATTATCTGAGGGTTTCAGCCCCATCCCGGGAGCCCCGCCTGTTGCTGCAGCCTGCCCCCCGTCTGAGCCATTTCCTTAAGGCAGGTGATGGAAACCATTTCCCAAGTTTGCGCCTTCCTGGCCTTGTTTTCAGTAGCGGCGTTTTCTGACCTAGATGGTGGCAGGCATTTGGCTCATGTCCTGCTGTGTGGTTCTGGTTTACAGGAGAAAAACCTCTCTCTCTCTCTCTCTCTCTCTCTCTCTCTCTGTGTGTGTGTGTGTGTGTGTGTGTGTGTGTCTCTTTACAGGCAAGTTTTTCTGCAAGCCTCATTTCATTCACTGTAAAACCAACAGTCAGCAACGGAAGAGACGGGCAGAGTTGAAGCAACAAAGAGAAGTACGTTTTGTCTTGAAAGTGGTGGTGAAACAGGGAAGGCCCCTGATAGGAGAAGGTTTTCAAGGGTTCCTGCAAGTTCAGCCAATGTTTCTGGCTTTGGAGGGATTGAAACTCAGGTGAAGAGGGCTCTACTCCCTGGCATGGAGGGTCCCTCTGCCTCAGTCTGTTCACCTTGCCTCTGGGCTAAGACCTATCCCGGGGGAATGACTGCTGCTTCTCATGAGAAGCCCAGAAGAGCTTTCCCATGTGCCAAGGATGGGGCTATATGCTTAGCCATGCAAAGCCATGTAGCACCCGGTGCCTGGGGCCCCCATGACCACAGGGGCACTGTTAGCAGGGATGCCTGGTATAGAGCCAACCCTCTGTGGTTTCCAAGTCCTTTCCCCAGGCTCTTGGATGTCAGCAAAGTGACTGGCCCACTGAATTTGTGGATGGCTTATGATAGGGCCCCCTCGTACCTTCTCTATGGCTTGATTAATCACCCACCTCCAGCAAGACCCACAACTTCAGCTTTTTTCTAATTATACAAGTAATATAGGCTCAACATAGAAAAACGGGTAAATATAATAAACAAAAGTGTATAAAGAAGGAAAGTGAAATCACCCATCCCCACTCTATCCTGAGAAAATCGTAATTAACATTTTGGAACATTTCCTTGCAGACTTTTTTCTATATGAATACAGTTGATCCTTGAACAATGTGGAGGTCAGGAGCTCTGACTCTCCACAGGGTCGAAAATCCACATATAACTGATAGTCAGCCCTCCGTATTGGCGGTTCCTCCACGTCCGTAGATTCAACCAACCGTGGATCGGGTGGAACTGTAGTATTTACTATTGAAAAAACTCTGCATTTAGGTGGACCCATGCAGTTCAAACCTGCATTGTTCAAGGGTCAACTGCATGTTCTAACCCAGTGGGAATCCCATGTCTACAGTTTCATAGTCGTCTTTTCTCACTAACACTATATTAAGAACAGTTTCCCATGACATTAAAAATGCTTTTGGAGCCTAATATTTGATGCCTGTAAAAGATGGTTGATAATTTATTTGCGTCCTATATTGTTGGACATTTATGTTGTTTACTATTTTTACCTTATAAATATTTTTACGGTGAATGTCTTTGTACCCACATCTTTCTCCATATTTCAAATAGTTTACTTAGGATCAGTCATGAGAAATGAGATTGCTGAGTCAAAGAGCGTGTATGTTTTGAAGGCTCCAAACAAAACTGACCCCTGTGATCAGTTTTCCGCCCCCCAGGAAGGTCATGCCCACGTTCAGCCTGCCCTTCAGCAATGCATGGGGGCGGAGATTTGGGGGAGGGGGGCTGGTTGCAAATTGTAGGGTCTGCCACGTTCTCTATTTACTGGCTCTTTTCCTCTGCTTCATTGGAGGCGTCGTCTCTAAGCGTCATGGACTAAATGCCCTCACCTTGATGTCTTTCTCAGGAGGAGGGGATGTGGAAAGAGCAAGAAGCCTCTAGGCGAGACCCTCCTGCGGAAAGTTCTTGCGCTGCCGCCGCCATCGGCACGCCGGAAGGCAGCCCCCCAGGTATCCCCAATTCCTTCTTTAGGAAGGTGCTAAGCTGGCCCCTCAGGCTGCCGTGGGGCCTGCTTCACCTTCCCCAGAGGCTGCTTAACTGGATTCAGGGACTGCTGCGTGCTGCCAGTCTGCATATCAGGGACAATGCTTACAACTACTGCTACACGTACGAGCTCCTGAGCCTCGGGCTGCCGCTGCTCTGGGTGTTCTCCGAGGTCCTGGCTTCCATGTACCGGGAGACCGAGGAGTCCCTCGAGGGCATCCGCGACTGGCTGCTCAGATGCTTCCCGGCCAAGCTGCACTGAAGCCCAGCCCCAAAGTGCCGTAACATTTCCCGTGTAGATGGCAGCATGTGCAGCCAGCCCAGGCGCTGGCCAGGGAGCCCCACGCCCTTTAACCAGTTAGTTCAAAGCCAAAGAGTTTCCCGTCGGCCACCTGCACCTGGCCTGGTCGCGGTGAACATCTGCTCCCGGTGCCCAGGCCAGCACGACATGAAGGATATTTTTTTATACCTTTGTACTTTTATACCAAAGCGAGCCATATTTCTAGGTTTACATTTCAATTTTTAACTTTTAATAAGCCAAGAGAAAGCATCTTTTTCTATGAGTGTCAGTTTTTCTAGACACGGGTTTGACGTTTATAACTGGTACTACAAACCCTTCCCACGTTGTGGTCAGTTGTAATCGCTGCTGCCTGCAACGTGAATGATTTGGGCTTCTCTGTAAACCAAAACCAGTGCCTTTTGATTTATGTGCCTGGATACCACTTTTCAACAACGGACAGTTGTTTGCAACATGAAAGCATAATACTTTAGAAGAAAAAAATAGAAAGGGCAGAAGAGAATTAAACCTACAGAAGCACGTGGCAGTGTGTAGTTGCCTGTTATCTGTCCTCCCAGAGGGCGGAGGACTGTTTTCTCACTTGTTTGGATGTAAAAGAGTAGCGTAAAGGTTCCTTGCTCAGAACCCCATCACAGCCAAATGATGTGGAACCACAGGGTCTCAAGCAGATTGCTACAAATATACGTTTCCCTTCCCACTAATGAGCACGGCAGCGAAAGCCCATTGGCCCCTGACCACGTGGAGCTCCATCAAACTGATGCAGTGTTGAAGAGGAGTTATGTCCCCTGGTGGCATTTTAAGCCCTCCTTATGAGGTCCCCAGCCCAGGCTGCAGTCCGAGCCGAGGCCACTCAGGGTCCACAGCCATGAGGCTGAGGGGAGAAACTGCCCTTTCACATAACGTCCTTTGAGACCGAGGGCATTTGTTAGCAGCTCAGGGTATTATTTCTGGGAAGTGCGGCCTGCCCCGTGAGCATGGCTTGCAGATGTCCCAGCTTCTTAGCCGCTCGGCTGCCATGCATATTTGGTCAAACAGTCAGAAACCATTTATTTTCACGCTGTCCTAGCAAAGGAATGCATCTGACCTCCAGGGGGAAGCTCCCCTGTGTCTTGACTGTCAGGGGAGGCTGGGAGTGGACGCTATTACTGACTCATGCAAAAGAAATACACCCTATTAAGGGCAAAACAGGACTTGGGCCCACCTGCATTCTTCTCTCTGGGCATCTGGAAGAGGCCTCAGCTCTCCCAACTCCACTTGCCTGGACATGCACGGCTGCTGAGTCTGGCTGAACAGTGGAGATGGCTGATAGAGAAAGGCCTTCTGCAGTGTGTTCAGTGTATCTAGAGTGGCTGGGCCAGAGACGGCTCTCTGCGTGTTACACTAGAAAGATCCTCTAGGTTAAATAAGGATGGAGCCCGGTAGGTTAGGAGCCAGAGCTCTTGAGGCCTTTGAGATGCCAAGTTCTCTAGGGTGGGAAGAAGTGGGGAGGCATTTCTATAAACACTTCCCTGAGTCCTTGGGCAAATCAGGGACATGGCTGCGGCCAAGTTCGTGGGAACTGGCGTCTCTGTCCTTGTTGGAACTGTTCTCGTCCTATGACTTGCATTGTGTTTTTCCAAATTTCTGCTGGTATTTTAATGTTCCGCATGGTGGGAGGAGCCCTTGATTCATTTTATGTTTGATTCTGAAAGTCACGACATAAACACATGCACGGCTGTCATTGTTATTCCCGTCAGCTCAGGGCAGGGTGAGATGCTTTGTGGGATGCTCCGTGAAGCCAGTTAGGATCTCTGAGAATGTCACTTTTGGCCATAAGGAGACTGGTTTGAATTACTCTGGCGAGACAGGGCGTGCCTGTCAGAAGCCTGAGTTGTTTGTATGTTCTGAGACTTTGAACCTTCCTGGTGGGGCAGCACCAAAACACAAAGGTGGGTCCTGGAGGGGGGGCCGGATGTCTCTAAGCCTCCACAACATATTCAAGAATGAACGTGGGGCTCGAGAGTAAAATCGGGGCAGAGAGGATGTGGAGGGCTGTGGAGGACAGAGGAGGGACGGCCAATTGCACGGATTCACTCTTGCAGATAAGTGGCTGCTCACTGCCAGAAAGGTTCATCCGTCCTAAGCAAACCGTAACTTGTTTGGGGAAGTTTCTATTTTTTTAATGGTTGCCTCGTTTTCAATTCCCGTGCCTTCTCGTGTTGCCTTGTGCCCCGCAACTAAATTCTCTTTTCTGTCTCTCTCTTTCCGACCTTACACTGTGGCCGTCAGTTCATTTCAGCCTTCCGGTGCTACACCCACTTCTTGGCTGACACAATTCTGCTCTGAGGTGACTGGTTTTCTTGCCAATTTTCAGAGAGTGGTACTAACCCCTGACCCGCTTTCCGTACCCCATGCCCCCGCCGTGGCCTTGGTTGAGCTAACTGCGAGTGTCTTGCATACTAATGCGCTCATTCAGTGGCATGGTTGGTGAACAGCATGGGGTGGTGTTCAGCTCAAAAGCGAAAGCCGTTTCTGATTCCATCCCTCTGAGCCAGCTGCCCGGTTCACCCCAAGTGCCTGCCCCACCTCCCCTCTGCGCCCTGCGGCCTGCGTGCATGCTTTTCTGGTTGCACGTACAAAGCCCCTCACCTTACTGGGAGGGTTAACCCCGAATGTGAGACAGTACCATAGAGAGGGCGCTTCACCATTGAAAAGAACTCTTTCACCTCTCAGCCTCTGAAAAAGCACATGCATACCAGCATCTTCTTCAGTTGGTTCTAGTATAAAGGTTATCGATGAAAACCATAGGTGACTCTTTTCAGAAGGATTTAAAAAAAAAAATACTCCCAGGCTTCATCACAAGCTTGACCCAGACTCTGTATTTTGAACACACAATCACAATTTTCCTAGCAAATCCTTTCTCCACTGCAGCCTATACTTTACCTCCAAGGGCTTTGCTGTGGCTCTTCTGATCGCTCTGGGCTCGTAAAGCCCTGGATGATACAGAAGCTTCAACTAGAGCAGTCATTGTCACAGACCAGGGATGCCTTTGAGAGATGACTCAGTTGGGCCCCAGGTCTGGAGCAGCGCATTTCAATGCCCCCACGAGCCTTTAGCTGGAGCAGCAGGACACTCAGAGTGCTTTTAAAGAGAAACACCATGCCAAGTACAGTGGGGCTGCTGAAGGCCAGGCCTCGCAGTCTCGGGCCGCAGGTGGGGTACGTCCTGCATGCGGCCCAGAGCCATGCTGACCCTTGCCTGTCTGCACAGCCCCGCATGCTGCATGGCTCCCTCGTTGGTGCAGATCCTAGCCAGGACCAAGTCACCGTTCTTGTCTTATCTTCTCTTGCAGAGTCTCCCCCCTTTTTAGAATGTCAACCAAAGAGTGCCCTCCTCCCTCCAGCCTCCTCCCTAGCTAGCCTCCCCACATCATCACCACGCATGTTTGTGACCTTTGGTAGTCATTACAGTGCCACATGGAACCCTGTATTTTGCACACGGCGGACAATGTTTAGCTTTATTTATGGTATTTGATGCTGTAAATGAAAATAAATATGGTTCTTTATAAAGCTCATTGTTTCCTCTCTTCTTTGCCACGGAAGCTGCTCAAACCTCAAACACAGGGGTTGGTTGAAGGGGTCAGCCTTCCCTAAACTGGGGGGGGGCCTTCACTTGTGGTGACATGGGACTCTCTGGGGCTGTGCTGGGTACTCTGAGAGGAGATATTACCCAGGGGTAATATTTGGAAAATATCGCCCATGCTCCGGGGCCAGGCTTTGGGGGCTGTTCCTTGAAAACTCATCGTGCTCTTCCACTGTAGGTGCTGGGCATAGCTGGCTGAAGGTCAGAGTCACCTCAGCTGTCAGGAACAGGCTGTATTAACAGCTGCTTGCAGCCATTTCCCACACACATCCAAGCAGTGGACCCGCAGGAGAGCTTTACTTGGGAACCTTGCTGTAACTTAGGTTCCCATGTGATAGAGGTTGGTCTTGAAAGTTTTGTGCTGGTCTAGCTGAGTGATGGGTGAAAGGTAAGGAGGAAGGACTGGACATTGGTTTCAGGATGGCAGTGAACGTGGCAGGTGTGCTCCTCCAGATGCAGAGCCATTTGTGATGCTAAGAGACCTGCCTTGCCCCCAAAGACTCAGGTCACTCAGTGTCTTAGGCTGCAAGGCTCTGCCCACAGGGCCAGTCTGAGGACAGCACCATGGCAGGCTCTGGCCCAATTCCACTTGTCTTTAAGGGAAGGATGTGAAGTTTTCACTCAACTAGTCTGGACAGTGTCAAAGAAATCTGGTCCTCAACCTCCCTAGGGGGGGATACGTCCCTTTGCCATGCTGGATGTGTGGCTGGGCTTCTGGTGCTGGCATGAAAACTCATCTGTGAACTTCCTGAGGGCCGTTTTATCTCTAAAGGGGCACTTCTGAGGCCCTGGGCCTCTGAGCACAGTTGCTGGTGCCTGGAACTGCCTCCAGAGCTGCCTGTGGTCATGACCAAGTGTCTGTACTCGTACCCAGGTGAGATACTCTTTCCCTTCCCTAAAAGGAAGGGTGTTAGGGACTGAAGTCAGGAGCTAGGTTAGACAAGTGACTCATTCCTTTATCCATTCATCTATTCAAGTGTTTGTTGAATACCTACCATGCCCTAGTCGTATTCTAGGTCCTAGAGATGCAGCAGTGAACCACACAGAATTCCTGCCCCTCCCTGCATCTTAGACTGCACGTATCTCGGTGTTGTACTAGACTTGATGTGTTTTGTTTAGTTGTGCATGCACTTATTTGTTTACTTGTTCATGTGCACATTTGTTTACTCACCTAATATGTACTGAGCATCTACTGTATGTTGGGAATGTAGCAGGGAGTGAAACAGGCAAGAATCCTCATTCTCATGGAGCTTATAGTTTGGTTTTGATTTTTGATCTGAAGTTGGGTTAAAACAACATTTTCCAAAGTGTGACAATGGAACACTAGCTTCAAGAGGTGCTTTGTGAAAAAAGGGTTCCATGGTCACAGAGCCTGAGAAGCGTTTTATACTAATCATGCCAGTCCTCCCAAATCTTGGTGATCCACAAGATTCATTAGCGTATTGAAGTCTGAGGAGTCCTCCAGTGAAGAAGCCTAATTAACTTTGCTGAAGTGGGCTTTCCCGTACCTCTTTGAAGTGAGTTTTTTGTTTGTTTGGGGGCAGTTTTTGTTTTGCATATTACATTCTACATAAGTGTTTGGTAGAATATTCTTCATCCAAAAACACTGGATGGAAGAATTAAAATAAAAAATGTAAATAATAGAATTAGGTATTAAATAGAATTAAGTACTGGTGAAATAATGGAGTGGTAACTTTCTAAACTTTAAAACCTCTGATGGAAAAAAATTACAGAGGAAAAACATAGCACAAATCTGACTTACAAACATTTTTAAAACTTAACATATAAAAATAAAAATGAAAATATTCAACGGGCAGTCAGACTGAGGAAAAATCTGAATTCGATGTGAGGACAAAGATGTTTATTGCTGTGGCATTTAGAAAGTTCCCGCAAAGCGATGGTCTCAGGTGCCTTGCACGTGATATTTGTTGATTAAAGACCCCATAATAAATGGGCAAAGGTTATGCATGGACTGTTCATACTCAAGCAAATTTTAAAAGAAAACACTTAAACAACAAGCATTTCCGAAAATGTTCTAACTTGGCTTTCAAAGGAATGTAAATTAATTATGCTGCACCCACTGAATAAGTAAAGGAATAGTGAAGTAGATTGTAAGAAAAAATATAAACTTAATCACTAGTATTAAGTGTAAAGTTAAATGGGGACCATCTTTTCTGGAAAGCAATATGGCAACGAGTATTATGACCCATTAAAGGGATTCTGACCTCTTGGCCCACTAATCACACCCCAGGAACTGATCCTAAAGAAATAATCCAGCCAAAAAAAAAGAAAAGCCCTGCAACCTGAATATTGAGTAGAGTAAGGGGGTCAAGCAAAGTGGGTGGGGGTGAGCCGTTCTCCTCTATTTCTGAGAAGTCATTCACTTTCAGAGCTTTTTCTTTCATCCCTTAAGTAAGTAAAAGAAGCGACTGCCACTTTCACTGCCCCAAGGCCACTGTTTCCACGGGGCCAAAGGCTTTCTGTGCGGTTCCTCATTAGCTTTTCACCTCCTGGTGGCAACCTTGAGTTGGCACTGACATTAAAGTTCACTGATGCTAGAGGTGACCTAGAGCAGCATCTTCAACTGTTGAGGAGCCCAGGCCAGGAGTCAGATGCTGCTCTCAGGAGACCCTTGGCACAGGGGAAGGCCCTGGACTTGGCCGACGACCGGCTTTGGCCCCAGGACTTCGTATTGACTCAGAGGCACCGGGCGAGTCCCTTCTGTGAACGGGGCTAGCCGTGCCTCTGGCAGAGGGGTTTGGGGAAGGCGGAGTCAGTGAGCTGAGCGTGCCCAGCAAGAGCTCTTGCTGAGGTCTGGGGAGCACCTTCCTGGTTTCGAGCAGCAGCGAGTGCCCTGAGGGAGGCATTCTAGGTCAGCTGGGGCTCAGAGTCTGACGGGACATCTTCTGGTTGGGGACTAAGCGGGTCTCGATTCACATGGAGTGGCAACATCTATTGTTTTCTAGTTTTCTGGTCCCCCGGCTCTCTTGAAGGTGACTGGTTATCTCCCTTTAGACACGCTGGCCTCAGCTTGAGCCCCTTCTCTCCTGCCACCTGCTAGCAGCACTTCAGTTTTGCTGTAGTGAGTGCCTGGGTCTCAGCACAGAGAGCCTCCTCGAGCTCTGGCTCGGGCTGCCTGCTCACCATCTCCACTTAGCTGTCTGCTGAGAGGCTCCAACTTACACGTCCACCCCCAACTCCTGGTCTTCCCCTGAGACAGACACTGCCCTTGGCCTCTGCAGTCTCTGGACACGGCAGTTCCATTCTTGTTGCTCAGCTCAGAGCCTTGGCTGGAGTCATTCTTGGCTCTTCTTTTCTTGGCCCCATGTCCAGTCCATCTGTGAATTCTAAGTACAGCCAGAGTCTGTCCACATCCCACCACCTCCATGCTACCGCCTGGCCCCAGCCACTGTCATCTCTTCCTGTGTTATTCCGGTAACCTCCTCTAAGCTCTCCTTCTAGAGAGTTCTCCTTACTCCATTCAACCTATTTTCAACACAACAGCTAGAGGAATCTTGTGAGAACTTAAGTCTGATCTCTCCTCTGCTCCAAACTCCAGCAGCTCCCCAGCTCACTTAGCGTGAAAGCCAAAGGCATATAGTGGGGACACCTGGCAAGTGCAGCCGGGCAGGACAGCCATGCCCCGGTACGGCAGGCGGGCCTGGGGCCCAGGGCTACCTATCAATTGACTCATCGCCTGAAGACCCCCTAGAAACTGGCATTCCCAGTAGTACACTCTCAGAAGCCCCGGGATGGCAACTGTGCTGTCTTTAGGCACCTGTGCTTTTATCTTTTAAAGGGACATGCGCTGCAAAGGACCTTGGTACTGGATAGACACATGTCCCTCCTAGAGCAATTAGGTGGAGGGAACACCTGACACAGACCCCTTCCCAGGTCCCTCCTCCCTCCTGCTGAGGGCTTGTCACTCATCACATCCACCTTGAAAGAGGGCAAGGAGACTGCACTATGCTTAGTTCCCTGGACATCTGCCTATTTGCTCTCAGATACACTCCCTGCCCTTCCCCTGCTCCGCTCTGTATTAGAGAGGTGTAACCCTTGCAAAAGACATTTCCCAAGCTCTCTTGCGAACTGGTTTCCTACTAAGTTTGACCGTTAGGACGCACGAGTGGGAGAGTGCAGGGTGGAATCGAGGGAGAAGCCAGGGTAGTCCTCCTGCCCCTCTGCATCCTGGGCAGTGCTGTGTCTTTTTTGTGGTACCCGCCTCCTACTGCATGGCCCTGGCCTCTGGACCCATAGCACCAGCTCCTTCCGGTGTCCCCCTAGCCAGTGGCTTCCTGCCATTACTCATCTCTGGGTTGCCTCACGTTCCCCATTTGGCTTTTCAACTCATCCAACACCATCGTTATTAGCTTCCTATATTAACTTTACTCTGTTGAACTCCCTGGCTTGGGTTCTATTTTCCTGACTGATAAACTTAGTTCCGTTGCTCTTGTTAAACTTTCTTCTTTCAGGAGAACTGTGGGCAAGACAGCAGAGGGAGCTTTTCCAAGCCCAGAGGCAAAAGTGGCTCTGGCAGTTAGGAGCTGTGTGACCCCGGACAAGTGAGATAACACCTCTGAGCTTCGGTTTCCTCATCTGTAAAATGGGCTTAATAACTGTATATAGGAGAACATGTTTTGTTGTCTCCCTGGGTTCTGGGGGAGAGTGGAAGGGTCTCCAGACTTGGGGAGAAAACAGGAACAAGTTCACCAGCAGAAATGGGGCTCCATTTCACCATTCAAGGCCCTTCCTGGTTTGATGTCAAAGCAATCATTTCCCGCTCGTTTGACCAGTTTCCCACTGGTTTTCCCCTTTCTGTACCCTTTTGCCCTCCAGTCA